CATGAGGAAAATCAATGTGTGAATGTCTGTTGATTATGTGGTGTGTAGCTAAAACATTCTAACACGACCTCTAGTGACGTGTCATGACATTAAACATAAGAAAATATTATGGCTAAGGCTACAGTTATACACGTCATAAACAGTTATACACGTCATAATAATAATATTAAACATCCTGTCTTCTAACAGTCATCAACTTTCTATCTAGTTATCCTTCACCATAAGCAACCTGCAGTAACTCATGAGAATGACTAAGCATTTAACAGTCTAACTAGACATCCTGTCTACTCTAAACATTTCTAATACATCAAGTATCTAACCAATATCTATCTGACTAAAAATACCTAACAAGACAAAACTCACACATTCAACTTCATCTTCCTAGAAACGAGAAGTGGCGCCGGTTAAAGATCCAAAGTTATTAACGTACGTAATTAGCGTAGCTGGTAACATATATCATAGGAAATCCGCAAAGTCTTTGCGCTGAGCATTTACGGTACGGTATCATCAGCAGTAATCAGGTGAAAATACCTGTATGGGCGAACATGCCTGACAATTTATAGTGTAAACTATTCATTAAAGAGGAAAATTATCATGAGTTGTAGCTTTAGACTAACTTTTTCCTGGACAACGTGGAAACATATGATCCATAATCCATAATCAGAGTTTCACCAATTAGCGATATTATTAGAGTGCTTGTCAACCATTAAGATCTGGCTCAACAATAATTATCTTTGCATAAATTCTAACAAGACTGAGACACTTATTGTGGCACCTGACACTAAGATTACCGGAATTAAACAACACCTTGGTTTGTTGGGCTCTTCTGTCCAGTTGAGCCTTCGAAGCCTTGGTGTTGTGTTGGACCAGGCAATGTCATATAAGACAGTCAGGAATTGCTTCTTTCATTTGAGAAATATATCTAAATTAAGGAAGATTTTATCTAAGGGAGATCTTGAGATGATTATTCATGCTTTTGTTTCTTCACGCATTGATTATTGTAATTCTCTTTTTACCTGTTGTAATAAGTCCATTTTAAATCGTCTTCAGATTGTCCAGAATGCAGCTGTGAGGCTCCTGACAGGAACCTCTAGAACAGCTCACATCACTCCAGTCTTGTATTCGCTCCATTGGTTACCAGTCAAAGCTAGAATCGATTTTAAAATCTTAGTGCTGACATTTAGAGCACTACATGGGCAGGTGCCTCAGTACATTATCGATCTGCTGACCCCAGACTCCCCCAAACGTACTCTTCGTTCTGTAAACCAAACTCTTTTGGTGGTCCCCAAAACTCGTTTTAAATCTCAGGGGGACCTGTCTTCAGGTTGTAGCTCCAAGGCTGTGGAATGCCCTACCTTTGACTTTACTCATGACTGAATCTATTGATGATTTTAAAAAACAGCTGAAGTCACATTTATTTAGACAGTTTTTTAATTGATTGGGTTTATTCATTTTATAAATTGTGTTGTGCTATGTGAGTACTTTTAGGCTTATGTATATTATTTATCTCTTTTTATCTTTTGACTTTGTAAAGCACTTTGTGACCTTGTCTGTTTAAGGTGCTGTATAAATAAAATTTACTTACTTACTTACTTACTTAATCATTAATGTAATGACCAGCATTTGAAAAGGGACAGGTTTTCACTGTTTTATGAAGAAAAACAAGGTTTACAAATCAAAACTCCTTGTTTAGTCTTGTGATGGACTTCGAGTTCATTCCTTGTATGACACTGTGTAATCAGAGAGTTTGTAGTTTGCTTGAGTATTTCCATTTTATAGCTACCACTTTATACTACACGATCACATTTCAGAGGGAAGTGTTGCATTTTTCAGTTCACTACAGTTGTTTGACGGGTTTATCTTGTGGTTACTTATAAATTTAACATTTTAACATCAAGTTTTCAAAATGATAAGCTCATCAAAATCGGTGTTGAAGTGTTGAAGATTAATCCAGTAGTTTCCAACCATTTTAAGACACAAAAACTGTCTAGCTGGGGCCCATTTTCACAGATGTCTGTAAGAGTAACTTCCCCTCTAAACTTCTCAAATGTATTTTTAAAAAGTGTAATCATCCCAAATTTCACAACAAAATAAATGTTTAGAGAAAAGCCCCACAGACCTGACCGCTAACCACTGGACTAAAATAGCAAACTGTATTTAAAGTGGCTGCTAGTGACAACAGTAAAATGCTGACTGTGCAGTGTCGCATCACTAACAATCCAATATCAGCTATAAAAATATATCAGTCACATGAGACACTTTACTGCAGAATAGTACAATGTACTAATAACATTTCTGCTCTTTCACTTAAGTACAATTTACATGCAAACCTTTAACTTTAATTGAGTGTTCTGAAACTGTGGTATTGATACTTCTTCCACCGCGGTGTATTCAAAGTTTCCCAGGTGCAGCATGAAATAAAATACAAAACATAAATAACACGAGTACAGTACAAATATTAAGCCACTAAAATAATAACAAAAACCTTAAGAAACCTTTCTGCTGCCACTATGAAAATAACGACAAAGTTAATTGTAAAAACTATTTGGGGGCCCTTTTAAAAATGTCTTTCTTATCATCAGTTTCCAACCACATGTTGAGCAACCTTCTTTTTTTGGTGGGGGTCTAATAATGGCCTTGAGGTTGAGATTAATCATTGATATTATTCCTACATCCAGAGCTCCTTTGCCTCAAAAAGAAATGTTGTGTTGTGTAGAGCACCCTCTACTGTTGGAGGAAGAGAATTACAATGATCTCAGGTTGGATGATCGGGGACATATTTTTAACACATCGGCCCAAAATTCAGCCTCAGTGATTTGTTGTCTTTGCAAACTCTCAGATCTAAATTATACCTTAAATTACAGTTCTGAGGGTTTAAATGATATCTGGTTTACAAGTTGAGACGGTCCATTTAGAGTTTCAGATATTCTTAAAAGTGGCTTTCTGAACAGTTAAAACCATGAAGAAATTACATGTTTTATTCATTCCCATTTTCCAGTGGTAGAAGGTTTTATTTGTTTATAATTATTCAGCCAAGAACTCTTAGAAATATTACAGGACATCAGCTTGGTTTCTTAAATGGTAACAGTACAAGAGATCATGCACATACAGCCGGGTGACAAGTGAAAGGACGACCCAACGCAGAGTCTCAGTGAGGTGCTGGGCCTCCACGTGCCACCAGAACAGCTCCACCTTGGCACTGACTCTCCAAGTCTCTGAACTCTCCTGGAGGAACGAACACTGTTCCCTCGTGTGGTGTTTTGATGATGATGGTGGTGGTGGAGACGCTGTCTAACACGTCACTCCAACATCTCCCATAGCTGTTCAACTGGGCTGAGACCTGGTGACTGGGAAGGCCACAGCATCTGGTTCAAATCATGGTCATCCTCATCAGACCAGTCAGTGACCCCTGGTGTCCTGTGGATGGGGGCGCTCTGTCATCCTGGGGGAGATCACTCCCCTCAGGAGAGAAATGCTTCATCACAATGATCACTCAGAACAACTTTGTACTGATCTCTGAGTGGACACATGCAGCCAAACCTCTGCGTTTATTACGTTTCTTCACTCATTCAGGTTTTTCCTTCCTCACCTACACCTTGTTAACCCCCATATGTAGCTGTCAGCTAGTCATTAATATCCCTTGAGCAGTTTTAAATCACACAACAGTGATCATTGAAAACATGACACAGAAACAGTCGATTAACTTTTTATTTAGAAGTTATCTCTGCAGAAAAAAGAAGGCAGCAACTACACGAAGGTCAGAAGAGCAGTTCCAACTCTTCACTCTAATAAATTTAGGTCAGACTAGCTTTGTTACAATAGAATAATTTGTTAGAATTACAAAAAGAAAAAACAGCTCAGGGAGGTGAGTGGTGTGCATAGCTTATAACCAACCCCCAGACAAAAAATTTCAAAAGAATCAGGAACAAAAATATATAAATAAATGCTTTAAAAGACCTAAAGGCTGCGGTGGCGTAAATCCTAATCCAGACTGATCAGTGGTTCATCCCCAAATGTGAGAATAACAAACTGTGTGATTCATTAACAAACAGTGTAGTGTAAAGACAAGTGATTCCACTCCTATAATGAGCCGGATTCAACCAGCGTAGTGTGATGAAAATGTGAAATGACAAGTGAATAAAAAAAAAAAGTCCATTCTAATGAGTTTAGTGAGAAAGAACAGAATGTTATAGGCAGATTCGGAAACAAGGGACAATATTCTGCCAGAAGGATTAGTTTGTTTCTGACGCTAATAAACTAGGACTAAAGTGATCAGCAGTATTTTCTTGTTGTTCAATGGTGTTTTTACCATTTTCTGACATTTTATAGTGAAGACAGTGAATCGGTTAAGTTGCTCAGACCAATGATCGACAAATCGATGAGGAGAATTACCTTTACTTGCAGCCCTAGATTTAATTTTACCTGCTCAATCCAAGTAATTTAACTTAATTGAAGAGAGTTGTAAAATTAAAATGACCTGCATGTGAGAAAAGACAAATATTCCTCAGATGAGGAGAATTACCTTTACTTGCAGCCCTAGATTTAATTTTACCTGCTCAATCCAAGTAATTTAACTTAATTGAAGAGAGTTGTAAAATTAAAATGACCTGCATGTGAGAAAAGACTAATATTCCTCAAATTGACATGTTTTTTCACCTTTTTTTACAAAGAGAAGATTTTAAGACTCTGTGAAAAATAAAATCTTCCTTCTTCTGTCTTGAGGTGAACATGTTTGTAGAGTTCAACCTTCAAAACAGAAAATCTGCTTTTATAACAACAAAACAAGAGCATCAACCAGCCAGCTGGTCTCTAATATTACGGTTCTTCTTCTGTGTTTGGAACCGTCAGAACTACAGGAACTGTCCCTTTCCTGTCTCTGGTGTTTGTTCATCAGCAGACAAACCAGCCTGTCTCACCAGAGGGTTTGGAGTCAAACAAGAACCTGACAGCAGGCCGCTGCGCCACCAGGGGGCAGCAAAGACGTTCACAGTCATAGCCACTGCAGAAATCCCCCCTCCTGGAGTTTAACTCTTTCTACAGCTGGACAGAGGAGAACCAGAACAGTTTGCAACACACAGCCAGTGTTTCCAGCTGGCTGAGAGAGGAGGACTCACTTCGTGGAACCAGAGCAACAGTGGGATTTCCAAAATGGTTACATCTGTATCTTACAAAAAGGGGAAACAGTATTTCTCTCCTCACCATCATTAGCACACTGTTATCACAGTTTTCATGGTGCTTCTGGATCATTTAAGAGGTACATGACAGGCACAAAATGGTTCCACTGCTTCTCTCCGATCAACAGGGAACAGCTTCAAACGAAAAGGTAAACAAAGAGTTTCTGCATCTTCCCGGCCGCTAAACCTTTGATCACATTCAGTGTTGGATGCGCTGCTTTCAGTGGAAGGTTCAGATCCAGGACTAACCTCCAAGCCTAACTGCTTTCCATGTCAGTCCACTTACAACAACAAAACCGAGTCAGATTCATGTTGATCAAGTGGTGAAAACGTGCAGCATACATCAAGAAAATAATCCACTGAATCCACAGTGAAGCTGCTGCTAAATATCTGTGCAGCCAAATCATAGTTGCTGTAACCTGTCGGCTAAACAGGAGCTTAAAGAAAACAGTAAAAAGAATCGCTGTGATGAGCAGATACTGCAGGACGGAAAATGCTTTATAGTGTAAGAGGAACAAATCAAGCACCTTGGCCTGTTTGTGAGCATAAACATGAGAACCATTATCACCCAAACATCCTCAGTACATTGTGAAGTGTGCTCCAGCCTGCAGAGCAGCTGGGCCTCACCAACTTCCTGTCGCTGACTGATTAATGTCGGCTCTAACTAGCTTTAATAGAGTTTTAATATTCACACACATGACAGTTGGTCTGTCACTGATGGTCACAGAGTTAGTTGAAAAAAAATCATTTGACTCCAAACTGTACCAACACCAGCCTCTGTGTCGGCAGAGTTCTTTCTCAGGCACTTTCTCTTATTCATTGGTGGAGCAGTGATTCATGTGCCAGTTTCAGGTTTCAATGTTGAAAAATACAATACAGACGGTAGAGTGGTGAGAGTGCCTGAGAAAAAACGAAACTGTTCGAAACATGTATCTAAAATGTGTTTAGTCCATGTGGGTAAAAGTCTTCCACTACTCAAAAACCTGATGCAGCTCTAAGGCTCAACACCAAGTCAGTCTGCTTCCTGCCTTTTAGTTTGGACAAAGCTAATCAAATACCACCAGTACAGTGTTAGCATGTGTTAGCATCAGTTACTGCAACACACTGGGGTTAAACTGGATGATTCTGAAGTCTGAATCTTTATGACTCAACAGGTGAAAAGACAAAATAGTCTGGTCTCCTGAAGTCTCTGGACTTCTGCAGATCTAAATCCAAATGTTGTTAGGGAAACACAGCACAAGGTGGTCTCCTAGAAAGACTGTATGCACTGTGCTTTCACTCTGACTCGCCCACACCCAGCTGAACAGGGTACATATAAGTACTGTCACACATTTCATATAAAGTGCAAACTCATTAAGTTTTCCTGTCACGGCATCAGACCGGCTGAAGCTGCAGGACATCCAGTAAGTCGATCCACAGGTCAACACGCCGCCTCTCCAGACGATCGGTTTAATGGCTCTCTATCACCACAGGCTCGTACCCGCCTGCAGGAACCCTGCAAGGACCCAAAGACAGGGGACAGGAGTCAGTCACTGTGCAGCATGACAGCGAGGCCAAACATCCAGCCAGACATCTTCAGGGACAAGGGGAACCAGGAGTCCTGTAACGGATGGTCCAGGGCCTGTATTCTGTATCAAGCATCTCAGAATCACTCCTAGGAATCCTTAGGGCTAAAAACACTCTTACCTCAGAACAGGACTTAGGAAGCGGGAGCCACAAAGTCAACATTATAGGGACGTGTTGTGGTCGTTCTGACAGCTGAGGTTTGCAGTTTTAGACGATGGAAAATAAATGAACCATTTCAACTGAAGGCTTTATGTGCAAAGGCAAAAAGCTGCTAACAGAAGGTAACATGGGAGCTAAACACTTGTTCTTTATACCAGTTCTCTTTCTGTAACAGGCTGAATTTCATCAGAAAGCTGCTCATAATGAGATTCATTTGTGCTAAATTATCTTCCTCAATTTCTAAATCCCTACTATAAACCTGTGTATCATCACTCACACACTCACGTTACTGCTTGATAATCAGTAGAGAAACCAGGAGAGGAGGAAGCGACAGAAAGAAAAGGGACAGGGAACCAACCTGTTTCCGAGCCTGACGCCACTGAGTGCAGTGGTTCCATCTCTGCTGATGAACAGACGCAGGTTACTGTCTGAAAGCCAGAAACACAGAGTTAGCAGGAGGGCTCAGACAGCAACAGATGACAAAACACAGAGCTCAGTCCAGAGATGGTGCAGTACTTGCACCACTGTTCAATAACATAATAAGAGGTTCACATGGGGCTACCAGCCATTATCCTGCAGCAGTCTACACCATCACTGTACCTTCAGTGTTGTTGATATCGGCAAAGTTTTGGCTTTGGACAATTTTCTCCACAATGTCATCAGCATCCATGCGAGTGTCGTTCACCCAGGAGGGGTGACTCTCCACTGAGTCTTGCTTCCTCCTGAAGTACAATGAACAGAAGAAGAAAAGCAGAAATGTCACTACAATACGACTGAGCTACAATGTTGGATATAGTATCTCTTGTTCCACCTTGTGTTTTCATGTAAATCTAAAGCAAGATGAGTGCAAATCCTGGTGATCCTCTGATCAGAGCACTGGTGAAGCACTATACTGTGCATCTGTACCTGGGGGGTCTGTTAGGGGGTAAGACTGGCCGCGGAGGTCGAGGGGGTCTTTCCGGACGTCCAGAGTCCTTGTCGCCCTCTGTAGGCGTGTCAGCGGTGAGGCCCAAACCCCCAGAGGTGCTGCTTCCTGTCGAGGTGTTCCTGCAATGTGTGAGGTCTGACAGGCTGGAGGAGCAGGAGTGCTCAGTACTGTAGCCTGCAGGAGGGCAGGGACATGAGAAGGCACCAGAGGAGAGAGGAGAATGGTTACAGTGCGGTGTTGGCTACAGGCAACAACAAGTCAGTAAAACAGAATAATGTACCAGAGATTTTGCTGTGCTGGCTGGCGTAGCTGGAGTTACGCGAGTGCCCAGACTGGAAGGCTTCTGCAGGACCGGACTGGATCTGGTTCACCTCTGATTCTTCTAGGAGACCTGAAGGCAACAAGACAAGAAAACACCACTGTTACGGCCTTATATGCATGTATCAGCAGGCAGTCTTTGGTTACTGTCACAGCAGAGAGGCAGAGCTCAGTGATGAAAGCCACCTCTGATTCACAAGACCTGTGATTTACAAGCATGTGCTGTAAAAGCCTGTGAAGTCACAGAGCTGGCAGCCAGCCAGTCAATCCAAGTAACTGCTTTCGTAAACAACCCTTGGTTTATAATGAAAGCCTGAAGGCTGTTGGACGTTCATGGTTCCTGGCTGAGTATCTGCACATCCTCCCTGGATGGAAAACGGGGTTTGGCGCCAGTGCTGTGAACCTTTAAAACGAATGCATCGTCAGCCAGCATACCATCTAAGGAAAAGGTTTCAGAACTTCGCCCATAAAGATTTGACTCAGATTATAAAACAGATCTGGCTGAGAATGGAGAGGGAGTCGAGGCAGGTTGGGCGAAGATCTGAACAAAAAAAGTAAAAACTGCCAGTTTGCAAACACACAAGACACAGATCTCTCTCATTCCAGTGACAGGGCACTGAGGCCTTTATCTCTGGATAAACCATCCCCCGTTTCTCTTCTCCTCGCTGTCCAACACCTGTCTAACATCTACACCTTGTTCTAAGTAAGTCTTCAAAGCATTAAAATCACTTGCCTGGTTATTGTTCCCTGTATGAACACTGCACACCCTCCCATTTGCCCCTGGTCCAGTACACCTCCAGCGTAACCAGCTCTTCAGAATATAGACCTGACTAAAAGAGTGCCAATCTTTCTGCTCAGACATGACTTGTACCTGAGTTGACGATGGAGGGGCGGGGCTTGGCGGCTCGCCCCACAGAAACCCCCACAGGTGGCCTGGGCTCAGCTGTCCCCTCCCCCTTACAGTCCAGCTGCAGGGTGTGTTCTCGGCCCGAGATGGAGATGGACTTTGCTGTGCTGGGAGGCCTGCGGGGAGAAAATTACCCAGTGTATCAGTCGGGAACAGATCAAATGAGCACAGAGCTGCAGTTCTGCTTAGTTTGGCAGGCTCAGATAAGATTCTTTTTATTGACCAAGGGGAAACTGGGTCATTACTGCAACAAAGCACAGAGAAACACAAAGAATGTAAGTGTTTAAAGGTAGGGCTGGCAATTCCTTCCACAAGCACTTTTTTGATACATTTCTTAAATTTTTCTTTTCATCCCAATGACAATGAAAACATTAAATGCGCTGGAAACATAAAGAAAAACATCCATCATCTGTTACATGTAATCACAATAAAGGCATTTGATTGCATTCTACTCACGTTTTAAAACACGGATCTCCAGACAGGAGGGTCATCCCGATGATCACCTAGAAAGGAAAAACAATTTAATAATTTCATTTTACCACAGTCTCACAGACATTTTAACATTTTTTCTCTTTTTCATTTGGAAGACATATCTTGTAGAAGCAACAGCTAAGACGGTGAAAGTGACAAAAATATTTGTGGTTAATTCTTGTCCATTTATCAAAGTTCTCTCTCAACAAAACGTGCACCGAGTTCTTTCCCTTTCCTCTCTGTACTCCCACACAACCGTGAGCCAACTCAGAACCTGATGCAACATTAAGACAAACTGACCAGAAGAGCCTCCAAAAAAAGTGAGGCACAAAATGTTACAGCAAATCCAAAACATCAGCTCCAAACAAAACACTTACTGACCTATATTTGTGAGTAGAAACGATGAAGCTGTTTCATCTGTCGGCTGATTAAGCAATAACAGAACTAACTGGAGACAGCTGGAGCTCATTGACGTATGAGCTGCGCACAACTTAACATGAAGTCCTCCAGAGGAGTGAGATGGCAAATCTCTCATGGCCGCCTTGGCACGTTAAGCCAAAGCACAATTTGTGTTGATGGCCTCTGGGTGGCGCTGCAGAGCTCCCCAACTTCTCCCTGGACAACTACTCTTCAACTACTCTGGCTGCTTCTGATTACATTTATGGAATCAATGAAAAGATCAAGTGTCAAAGATGGAAGTATCAGGGTTAATGATCAGGCCTCGGGCATTGGAAGCTGTAAAGATTATGGCACATTAAAATACTGGTTTATACTAGAAACATTTCCCTTATCGCGCTAACATCATACAGTAACATCCAGTTCTGCTTTCTCTCTTGTTTCTTAGTTCAGTTTTCATATTTTCCCTGACGCCCATCTCCTTGCCTTCAGTATGGAGTTGTCCTGCCGTGTATTCTTGGTGTCGTATCCCTCCAGCAGACAGCAGCGCACAGTGGAGCCAGAACCCGCAAACTCCGCCATGTTGAGGTCTGTGAAGCCCAGCTGAGGGTGAAGAGGAGACGATGTTCAACAGTTAACTCTAGACTCCCAGATGGAGGGGTTCACTGGCCTTTATTTCTGGCACGTTTAGAAAGGTTTATGTGACACCCAGCACTTAGCACACCGAGCACATTTACACTGTTAACGTCACCAGCTTTTGAAGTTTTACTGTATCACAGGGTGCAAAGACCACACGTCAATCTTAGCAGACATCAAACCAGACACAGAGTGAAACCTGTACTTTTACAGTGAGGATAACGAAGACGAAAAGCTTTTGCAGGTAGATTTGAACTAATTTCTACTACAAACGTTACAGTTACCATGAAAGGTCAGTGACTTTACTGGCAGCTTTTATTCCCATGAGATTCACTTTTTGGTGAATAATGAAATAAAATACACCGTGAAACAGGAGGCTCCACAAGTTAACGTTGAACAAACAGAGCTACTGTAATTAAACACAACATGTAGCAGACTGAATGAAACATACTGCAGAGCAGTGGCTCTTCACTGTTTTTGAAGTGTGACCCTCTCTCTTCCCCAATGCCAAAGCTTTGGAGCGTGTAATATCACAGTTGGCAAATTAAATGTTGAACTTCAGCTCTTAGGTTAAACTGGTGACTCATCTTCTCCTCTCCGCTAGTAACACACTGCTATAGAAACCATGAAAATCCACCTCACGTCTACACACACAGCTCACTAGAACTGTGAAATCAGTTTTCTTCTTGTTCACAGCAGTTCACGAGCATCGTGTGGGTTTAGTGGGTGAACTGGCACCAGGTGCGTGAAGAAGTCACATTTCTACAATTTCTGTATTGTGCATCCCAATTTGAAACAGTTGGCCAACAATACTCAACTTTCCTTATCTAAAATATGACCTTATGAGTCGAATGTAAATGCACCATTATTCTTGGTGCCTATAAAACTTATAATGGTCTCATACATTTAGAAATTCCTGAACTACACCTTGGTAGGTCAGAGTTCCTCACAGCCCCAGTCAGCACTGATGAGTACGCGGTCGACACGGCTTCTCTCTGAAACAAACCTTGCCAATTCTCAGCATGTGGAAACCGCCTTTGTCTGATCTGTGTTTGTGATGTTATTATAAATGAAGGCAGCTGCTCTCTCAAGAGAAAACCTCCTATTCTTCATTCTCCAGGTTTCCCCATCTTTAAGGAGCTTCTGTTTTCATAGGTGTGTATATAAGGAAGCATCTTTTAAAGAAGGAAGTGAGGTATATTTAGCTGAAGGAAACCTAAATGGAGAATGGGAGAAAACAGAGGAAACAGTTCCTGTTGGGCAACGACATCCACACAGCAACACATTTTATCTTCATGAGGGGTTCGACCTTGTAGCTTCACTCACAAGACATGACTCATCTGTCAGGAGATGTTATGGTTAGTGAGGTGTTGGCAGGATGTTGTGCAGATTCTGGGCAAATGTGAACGCAAGGTGGACAAGTCTGTGATTCATGTTTGCGTCCAGCTGTGGGAAAGCTCGTCAAAGTGCTGGGAGAAATGCTAATATTTACGGGACATGACATTAAGGTTTACAGACACTGACACTGTAACTCTTTCTATGTATTTATGGATGTGAGAGATGAGGCAACTGGGAGGGCGGCACAGGCTCTTACCTTCGTATATGTTTTTCCTCCTTTGAGTTCCTGCAGGGAAAACAGGAAGACAGTAATGAACCCATTGATTCAACTTATCCAAATTCATATTACAGAGAGCTGAGATTACAGGGCACCAAAGAGAAGGTTTAAATTACAGGCTGAGGTGGTTCCTGTGGAGTCCAATGAGCAGCAGAGCACGGCACTGAGGTGGCATTCACATGGGAGAGTTAGCATCAAGTCTGCACTGACTTATCCTGAGAAATCTCTGGACGCATCCTGAACATTTTTTTTTTGGTTAAGTAATTTTGTTAATGGATGAGCTTCTGTAAGGATAAGGATAATCACCTTTATTTGGCCAAGTATGTTGCACACACAACCGTACAGAACCGAGGGAGCCATCTGCGGCGACAACACCAATGGCTCTAACCATCGGGGCAACTTGGGGGTTCAGTGTCTTGCCCAAAGACACTTTGACACGTGAACTGCCGGCACTGTGACTCGAACCTCCAACCCTCCAGCTGGGAGATGGCCGGTCTACCCCCTGAACCACAGTCGCACCACAAGGCTGGGTATTGTTTAAGTACCAAAATGATGCTGATGTTTATATTCCAAGTAAGGTACAGAATAGTCTTTCTACAAAACCCTGATTTGTTCCTTTGCACATCCAGAGACACACACACACACACACACACACACACACACACACACACACACACACACACACACACATCTCAGTTTAAACCTGACTACACATGGGAGTGTTTCAGGTGTCCAGGACACATGCACATATGGTTTAAACATCATTAAAATTACTGTAATTTAAGGAAGTGAAGCAGGTCCTGGCTACATGGGTAGATACAGTCATTCAGTGGGTACATGCAGTCATTGCAAATACTGTATCACCATGTTCGAGCCAAATATTTGTTCCAGATTCTCAATGTAAGAATGAATCTGCTGTTTTCTTGGTCTTACACAATAGTACACTGAATATTTTGGGCTGTTGATCTGACATATTTCACAGCTGTCACTTTATACACCAAATGATTGATCAACAAATTAATCAATGATGAAAATCGTCATTAACGTAGTAGTGTTGCCGACTCATTTCAGAAGCATTTTGTTAGGTTTCTTGAATTTCTCTGCTCATCCCGATGGCAATGAATATATTTAATGCACCGACAACACAAAGAGAAAGACCAGTCATCTGTGCCGGGGCTGAAAAACACCTGACCAATAATTTTACTCAGTCTGAGCAAAACCATCGGACGGCCTACCTGCCAGTCGCACACATTGCACAAGCCAAGAGTCTCCCACAAGGCGTTGCAGGTAGAGACGTGTTACCGCTCTGTTTTGATTGCTAAAGCTGGCAAGCTATGGCAGAGAAGGCACCCAAGGCAACTTTCAGTCACAAACGGAGGACAGATTTGAGAAAGTTACAACTAAAAAGAAGTGGGATGCTGCAAGAAGTAAAACCAGAATTAACATCGGTGTGGCTTTTCAACGACGGCGACAACTGAGAAAACAAAAAAGGATCGGCAACTATTCCTTTAAATGCAGCTCTAAACAATATTTCAGATTTCATAACAGCATATAATGAGAGCATGCGAGTCTACAACCAGATACCTGAAGGCTCTGACTCAACAGGAGTGTGGTTTTCTATTCCTTCACTTCAAATCCCAAACTTTTTAAACACACTGTACTGATCTAATTTATCTCCAGAGTACTTGGGGAGTCGTACCTTCCTGACTGACACCCTGCACACAGAAGGATCCAGCACTCCGGTGTGGGGGTTGGCACTCATTTTGGTCACAAAAGTAAACCTCTTCCTCCAGCGAACACAGTTCTCTTGAACCTCCTCTCTGGAAAGAGAAAAAAAAAAACAGCAGGAACACATAAATCTGTGTGATCAACAGTTTGGTATTCTGCATCCTCGTATTATTTTGAAATGCCTTTCTGCTTCTGCTTCACTTCTTGAGTTGCATACTTTGGTTAATGATAATAATCTTTTGCAATTTACTGACAATGTCACTGAAACATATGTATAAAGGCCACGATCTGAAATATGTATTTATACATTGACCAGGACTAAACAAAAAGATTTTTCCTAATACTCCTGTCAAACACTGTCAAAACTTGGCAGCTTTTCGTTAAACTCTCCGACTTCAGAACAACACATTCTTCCAGTTATCTCATCCCTGTCTCACAGCCTCATGAGTGGTGCGTCCACTGAGGATCGAATTTATCAGAGCAATACTAAAAAAAAACATGAGTAAGATTTTCCAAAACTTACTGGACTACAGAGCTGATTCCCACAGAATCCCAGAATCCGTGCTAACACTAACAGTACACAGATACAGTATGTTGTAAGTAGTGAACCAGAGACGTTTTGTCAACAAGACAGTGACCTCGATGGGACACTGCCAACATGTGAACTGGATTGTCTCAGGAGTTTTCCTCATGCTTCACTGACTAGCGAACCTCACATGAAAACGGTGGACAATGGGCTTCAGGCTTCTCTGAAAACACCGGTGTAAAACCTTTAAGTATCCATACATCCTGGTTAACGGGTGGGAACACAGCAGTAGGTGTAAAAACAGACCGGATCACTGATGTGTTTGTTCCTGGAAACAAAAGATGGCGTGACTGGCAGGGCAACAAATTCCAAAAGAACTGCCATAGAAACACTGCAGTATGAAAGAGCAGGAAGAAGGCAGACATCCTAATTTGTTTAGTATAGCACTTGTGACATGCACTGTCCTGCAGAATTTTGTGGCTGAACATATCTGTAAAATTAACAACAATAACGCTCCATTTAACAGCAATTTCATCTCACAAATTCAAAATCAACAATTTCATTATGAAGTTAGCTAATACTCATTACAGTGCTGCACTTGTTCTGAATAACGTCTACAATCCTTAAAGGTGATTTAACTAGGAGTTATATTTGACTGCACATGAACTCCGTGCAAGACTCCCTAGAGCAGGTGCCAACGGCTAGCATGGCAGTCGGCAGTCGGTGAGAGCAACCTTCTGCAGATAAATAACACAAGTGCATTTTCAATCACAATCAGAACTAGCCATTGACGTAAACCATACTCAATATACTACACAACACTATCTATGGTAATTAATGGCAGAATATAGTAAACAGCACATTTCCTATTAGGCCTAAACTGCATAAATCTTGATGAATAGCATAGTAACTGTCAGCTATAGCCTTAATATTTATACTAAATTTCATGGCAACTGATACAGTAGTTGTTGAGATGTTTCTGTCGGGACCAAAGTGGAGGATGCTGCCGTTCCCAGAGCCACTCTAGTGGGGCTGAATCATACCGTGTTATTTGGAGCCAATTATCAATGTCTCTGGTGCTAAAACAGATAAACAGATAGATACTTTATTGATCCTGAGGGAGATGTCCAGAAACCCAAATTCACATAATTCAATAAACAACATGACTACGTAACCCTTTCTGTACATGCAGGTTTGTCTTCACTGTCTACACTGTTCAGTCAACAACAAGCATCTTGTCACAGTTAAATACCATCCAGTTAGAGAGCCCCATCACCTCGTAGATGTTCTGCCAATCACCAGTCAAAGCAAAAGAACTTTTCTCATCCTAAATGGCAAACGGCTCATTTGGGAAACTTTCCCTGGATTCTGTCCAACAACACACTGAGGGGAATCAGAGCAGCTGAGCGACCAAATGTTTTCGGAGTCACAAACTGCACGACGCCTCCTTAACTCCACCACATATAAATCACAGACACGGCGCTCATGGTGGGGTGTGACTGGATTTCAAATCGAAGGCGAGAGGTCTGAGCGAAGGAGAACTGATGAGCTGTTTCTTTTGTTGCTACGTTGGAACATCAAGTACAAGTACAGCTTTGCAGCATCCTGGCTGCTTAACACAGAGACCTTTCAACCAGTCCACAAATGTATGTTGATCATTTTACAACCTTTGTATTTATATAAAGCAGTGCAAGTCCAAACTCTTATCAATTCACAAACCCCCAAAATCAAACTCACATAATTATTCAGTCATATATAAAATCTGATGGGTGGACCATTAGAAGAAAATATCAAATGCATACTATAAAAATCTTAAATAAGAAAATATATCAACATAATTAGAAAAACAAAACAGCAGCATTGAAACAAACAAAAAGCAAATAAAAAGTGATTAGAAGGTTAAAACATATATAGAGAAGGTTGTAATGAGCCAAATTATGTGACACTGTCAATTTGTTTTTTCAAATGGACTTTGAAGACGTGCAAGGAGGACGATAACCAGGAGTGAACAGAGTCTGACCAAACATCACGACATCCTTTCAGGCATCATCACCAGCAAATCAGGAAGGAAGGGAAGCTGCTTTCCCATCCCAGGAGCAGATGAGAGAACAAAATGTACAGATCGGAGCTTCCACTTGGTGACTAAGGAAGACGTGGGCAAATCCAGCCTCGAGGTTGATGGCGAGGCAACACAGAGGGTCAGAAGGGGTTCATCTTATCGAGGTCCTGATGATCTGATTGATCGTTTTATTCACAGAATGTCAGACACTGGGGAAAAAGTCCCACTGTGACTCTCCAGAGCCGGTGTCTCCACGTCTTGTTGTGTCCAACCAGCAGATCCACAGCTGATTCTCATGTCTGACAAAGAAAAGCATCAGCTCCTCACGTTAAAGAAGGTGGAACTCATGACACGTCTTTAAACCAGACTTCTAGGATTTTTACTTCAGTCTGTTTAACTTCAGTCACTTATTTTATTTCACTCAGTTCACAGGAGGAAAGTTCTGGGCTATTGTGTAACAGAAGGTGCAAATGACACGTACAATAACAACACACACACACACTCAGTAGTTTAAACTAGCAGCAGATGCTCCTCACACTCCCCTCCCCCATCGTCTTATTCACCATCTCTCCATAATATGCTGTGATTCCTACCATCCTATTTCCTTGCTTTTTTTCTCTTCCTCCAACTATGTTTAATCTTTTTCACAAGAAGTTTGTGATTTTTACTTGACAATAAATATTTATTGAGTACATTTATACGTATTGCATTCCCATGTAACGCTAATCCATCCAAAGGAAATAACTTAAAGGTCAGGGCTTGCTTAACCAGTAACTGTGGCCTGTACAAGTAAAGCACTGAGGATTCACAACAACAGGAGTAAAAACACCAAAAACAAAAACCACACATCATTTTTTATCCCTAAACCAGAGTCCTAGTCCTAAACGACAGCTTTAAAGACATGAAAAATGTGAAAATATCTACTGGGTTAATGTTTCTATCCCTGAAACAAGTGAGGCTCTCAGACGAGCCCAAACACAAAGGCGCACACTCTCAGCTCTTATCGGGACCCCCACGCTATTGGTCGTCCAGTGTGTAACGGGAGTGTTTCCAAACCACATTCCTCAATACAGATGGTTTTGTTCAGACTCCATGGAAACCTCACACTCCTCAAATCCACTGATGCTCTGCCAGCAGCTCAGAGGAGGAGGAGGAGACGCTCACCCCAGCCTCAGACGTTTTTATAAGACCTCGACCATTTGTTTTTAATCTCACCTGAAACCTCTGTACCTCTTCTGTTCAAGCTTTTCATTCTCACAATGTTTAACTTTTTGTGCAGGAGGAGTCTGAGTGCTCTCCGGCTCAGTTCACAGCTGATCATCTTGACTCTGATTCTGCCTCAGATCTCAAACGTTCGGCAACAAAAACAGCTATCACTGTCACAACACTGTTCCACCTCTGATCTGAACCAGACAAATACTGAATGCTTCACCACATCTGAGGTATGAAGCCTGCATGCAACGTCTGCATGAGTCCTGAAACCCAAATTTGTCAGGTTAGACCCAACAACAACAGAAAAGCCATGTGTGAAACACAGCATTGACCTTAAAGAAAAAGTAGAGCAGAGGCCACATACTTAACATGTGAGGCAACTGTTTACACTGTAGTGAAGTAACTTAGCATTTCTCAAAACACGGCCAATTCAGCAGCTCAAGGCAACCGTGAGTACATCCACTACACAATGTAGGGCTGAAACAACCAGCTGATTAAACTATTAGTCGATCAATAGGAAGATAATCAGCAACTATTTTGGTAGTCGATTGATGTTGTATGTTGTTTTCAGTTTTTATGTCTCTGCGTTGGCAACAGCCGCTGCAGGAAACATTGTTTTTGGTTTGTCTGTTCGATTCTTCAACTTTGGCACAAGTGTCCACTCAAGAGTGAACGGATTCGATTTGGTGGTCAAAGGTCAAGGTCCGTGACCTCAAGCTTGTTCCATTCCTGTGAATGCAACTGGTTGGCGGAGGCACAGAACCACGAAGCGGTAATAGTAGTCTTGTCATACATCGATGAGTGACTGAATATCATTGGGTTTTAGACTGTTGGTCAAACAAAACTAGAAACTGAAGATGCTGACTTCGATTAGCGAAGTGATGGATCAATAAAATACATAAATAAACAAGAAAATAGAGAGCAAATGACAGATTGATTATAAAACCCAAACAGATCACTATAATAACTGGTGTGAGCCATGTGTAAATTATTAAAGTGATTCATTTTTGATGCAGCTTGAAGACTTTAAGTAATTTATTAACTGTATATAGTTTTTGGTATTTTCTATGTGCATTTCTGCATCTACATGAAGATTAAAAACATTTAAATCTCTTATTTAAATTACTCAAAGTAATCAAAGAACCCTGCACACAGTTGCTCACTTGTGCTTGTGCTATTAGCAACGTTTTGATCCTTAGACCTTTATCAGGCCAAATTTGTCATTTTAGTTTAGAAAATCAACTAACAATGTCTTTCAGTTTAAATTATCTTGTTAGTTATGTCCTCAGTTAATC